ATGAAGGTCGCGAGGTCCGAGGGCATCAACTCCATGTGCTTTACTTGGTGGCATGCGGCCGTGTATGCGGTGTACTTGCTCGGCTGTGATGGGCTCGAGAGGTTGACCAACAGCTGCTGCCTTGGCCTTATTCAGGGCCTGGAGGATGTCGTCGGAGGTCTCGGTGGCGTGCCAGACTTGCTGCCATTGTTGCTTCTTGTTGTCCATGATGACGGTGGGGTCGGCGGTGGTCAGGTTGGCCGTGTAGGCCTCGATGTGACGTACAGGTGCAGGCTTAACATGGGCGTGTAGAACTCCAGGACGGCGCTTCCATTGTTGGGCAAGCCAAGCCCCGTAGGCCCTCTTGGACTTGGCGAGGGCGGCCGAGAGGGCTCTGGAGGCCCAGGTAGCGGTAATAGTGACCAGGTCGTCGGTCTCGTCCTTGTCCAGGTGCGGGGCCCAGACGAGCGCGAACCAGCGGAAGATGGTGTCCTCATCCTTCTCGAACTGGAGGTCATGGCTGTGGCTGTTGAAATGGTCGGCGCGCTGCTGGATGATGGTGGCCTGCTGCTCCATAAGCGCTGCGTGCTTAGGCTTGTCGATGAGCGCGGCGTGGCGCTTGATGAGGGTGAGCGTAATGGCCCACCATTCCGACTGTGGATCATGTACGTGGACGCGGCCTGGTGCAGCCGCTGTCTTCTTCCAAGATAGCTGGTAGCCCTTAGCACGGCCAGTGTATGCTGGGGCTTCCTTCGGGTCGATCTGGTGGTGGCTGATCATGGTGTTCTCGAGGGCCGTGACCCAGTTGGCGTACTTGAGGTTGAGGAGGTCGGCGTCGTGCGCCCAGTGCCGGTACACGAAGTGCGCGTGCGGCTGCTTGCAACGTGTGGGGGACGCCTCCTGCCATTGCTTTTGCCACAAGTCCAGCGGGATGGCGTGGGAGATCGGGTTCGGCGCTGCGAGCTCGACCTGTGGCTGAAGTTGTGCTGCTGCTTGTTGAAGTTCAGGAGGTAGGTCACGAAGACGAGCTGCTCGAGCTTCAGCTGCTTTACGTTTCTTGATGGCGGTCTTGCTGTTGGGGTCTGGTGGTATCCTGGGCCTGTCCACTATGGGGAAGGCCTTGGGCGTAGCGATAGACTGATACCACCACGGATCTGCACTGCCTGCTCGAACTTCGAGGCCAACGCGGGTGGCCCACGGTACTGTGGGGCACTGGCGGATGGAAATGGTGTGCTCGATGCCCGTCTTGACCAGTGCGAAGTCTAGCGTGAGCCCCTGGCCCTTGTCGCAGGTGGCGGATCCAGGTGCTCGCACGATGGTAGCATTCCATTTGGCCAGCCACTCTGTCGCTGCAAGCTGCTCGGGTGTCATATTCCAATCTGCCAAAATGATCCAAGGGTCTGTCAGCATGGTAACGAAGGCGCCCAGCGAGAGCAGCTTGTCGTGCACTGCTCCCTCGATCAGCCTGCGGGGTTCCAGATAAGCTGCAATAACAACCAAATTGCCAGAGCGTCTGTGCCATACCATGGGCGTGAAGCCGAGGAAGGGGTCTGGCCTGCGCTGAGAAATGGCAAGATCTCGAAGATGGTTGAACGAGGTGGCCTGGACGTGGTACCTGGATAAGATGATCTCGCCACCCGTGTTGCCGTCGTCTGATCTTCTGGTAGGGGTGGCCGTAGTCGATGAGATTCTCCAACCGTCCGCTGCAATCTTGTCGTAGATGAGCGGCGCTTTCTCAGGCGAGATGTGTGTTTCGACTAGGGCTACCATCTGATATTGCTTGCCTGGGCCTGCCAACCATTTCTCAGACTGTGGTCCCCATTGCGTGATGTTGGAGAAAAACAGGGAGTGGTCAGACTGCGGGAACTTCGTGGGGCCTTTCTCTTGGTTGGCAGGCGTAGGATCAGCTCTCACGCTGCTGCTGGGCTTCCCTGGCCCCAACACCACAGGACTGTCGACAGCTTTCGCCATCTCATCACCCCCTACCAAGGACTGCGTCTTGGGCGGAGCGGCATCAGGGTTTGCCTTTTGCGGAGGCTCCCCTGGTTCCAACACCGCAGGAACGTCGACAGCTTGCGCCGTCTCATCACTCCCTACCGAGGACCGCGTCTCGGGCGGAGCGGCATCAGGGTCAGTCCGAGCAGCGCGCTGAGGCTGTCCTGGACCCAACACCACAGGGTGGTCGACGGTCTGGGCCGTCTCATCGCCCCCTACCGGGGACAGCGTCTCGGGCGGGGCGGTAGCGTACTGCTCGGACTCGGCGTAATCGAAGTGGGCGTCCAACTCGGCCAGCTCGTCGAACGGGTCGAGGACTGCGTCCATTGTGTTGATGCTCGCTGGGTTGTCGTAGAGCGTGGTCTCTGACGGCGGCCGTCCCGTCTCACCGTTCCGTCGAGGGTTGTGTTGTAGTCGGCTAAAGAGGCTGCTGCGGCCCAGCGGCGGCGGCCGCGGTGGGCTTGCGCATCTGGATGAGCATCTTCTGAGCCTTGTCCTCGAGGTCGGGGTCCTTGTTGAGTGAGGGTACAGGCTGGGTGACGTAGCCACCGTCAGAAGCAGCGCCAGCAGTTGGCGCAGGAAGCCCGTCGCTTGGCGCCGCCGGCGGTGGGGGCGCCGCGCCTTCAGCATCAGCTGCGGCTGCCGCTGGGGGCTCGCCTGCTGCGGCCGCGGCGGCTGGCGGTGCTCCACCGCCCGCTCTGGCGTGCCCGTCCTCGTCGGCGCGCTGCCGCTTGGAGGCGAAGCGCGTGCGCATGGTGGTGGCCTCTGCGCGGAGCTGGCTGATGTGGCTGGCAGTGTTGCCGAAGAGCTCGGTGACCTTGGCCTTGAGCTCCGTGGCGAAGCGCTGCTGCAGGGACTCCCAGGCCTGGCGGTCGTTGTCGTCGACATCGAGGCCTTGGAGGTCGAACGCCGCACCCGCTTCGATGGAGATGTCGCCGTCCTCCAGGAGGCTGGTGAGGTTGAAGGTCGGGGTCGGCTGCGTCTGCATAGGAGTGGCTGTGCCGCCTTTGCGGGCGGCTTGGAGGGCGTCGAGCGCCGCCTGGGCCTCCGCTTGTGCTTCGGCCAACTTGTAGGCGGCCTCCTCCGACGCCTGTTTGCGCTCAGTGTACCAGTTGAGCGCCTTCTGCTCGCTCTCCAGCAGCCTCTCGAGGTTATTCTTGCAGCGGCGCTCCGTAGCCTGCGCGCGGCTGTAGGTCTCGTTGAGGTCGGCGGGTTTCTGCGGCTGGGGCGGCGGGATCTGCGACTTGATGCCGTCGATGGCGGACTTGTCGATGTGAGGAGCGACTGCCTGGAGCTCCGCCAGGATGTCCTCGGCGGAGCGGGCCTTGGGGCTGTCGTTCCTGCTGGCCCACCAGTCGTCGTCATTGCCCTTGCCGTTGCCCTTACCACGGCGGCGGCGGGACTTGGGCCAGGATGACCACGGCTCCCAACCTCCCTCGGCGTGGGTCGGCTGGGTGGTCTTGGCCTCGGCCTGGGCTGCGGCTGTGACGCGGGCCGCCCAAGCACCTTGCACGGGTGGAGGGCTGTCCGTCCACGGCGCCAAGGCTTTGCCACACCAGTGGCACGACTCCTTGCCCTTCCAGTTCCAGGCGAACGAGCAGGAGTAGCACTTGACGTAGGCATTGCGCTGTTGCGGTGGTGCCATGGACGAGCGGAAGAAGAATGGGTCTGTCCCCTCACCTGGTGTGTGCCAGGCGGGGGTCGCTCCTCGCAGGAGCTCACTGAAAGACTGATAGCTGCCTCGGACTAGAGGTATCCGTTTCTGCCAATGCGGGCTCAGCCCGCCAATGGAAAAATCTTGAGCCAAAATGGCTTGAGCCAAATGGCTTGAGCCAAAATGGCTACGGAGAAGGAGAAGGAGGAGGAGGAGGAGGAGGAGGAGAAGGAGGAGGAGAAGGAGCGGGAGAGTGAGAGAAGGACGAGGAGAAGGAGGAGGACGAAGATGAGGAGGAGGAGGAGGAGGAGGAGGAGGAGGAGGTGGAGGAGGAGGAGGAGGAGGAGGAGGAGGGAGGAGGAGGAGGAGGAGGAGCAGGAGGAGAAGAACGACGAGGGGGAGGAGTTGGAGGAGGAGGAGGAGGAGGTGGAGGAGAAAGAGGAGGAGAAGGCGGAGGAGCAGGAGGAGGAGGAGGAGGACGAGGAGGAGTAGGAGATGGAGAAGGAGGAGGAGGAGGAAGAGGAGGAGGAGGATAAGGAGGAGGAGGAGGAAGAGGAGCAGGTTGAGGAGGATAGTGGGGCCCTCTGTGAGTTGATGGGTGGTGGTTGATGCTCCCTTCTCTTCTACTTCCTCCTGCTGCGCTGCGCGCCAACAGAATCCTCCCATTCGCAAGGTGCCCTTTCGATACACATGAGGCGATGGGGGAGAGGGGGTGGGTAACAGATCAGACGGATCTAAATTTGGCCTCATAGTGATTCCACCCGTGCCCTTCGAAATACGGGTCATGAAGAATGAGGAACTGATCAAAGTCCTCTAACACTGCAATCTTGATTGGTACCAGTCAGCACAGTGTGAGATCTGTAACCGTGATCTGTTTCATCTTCCTCCTCCTCCTCAGTCCTCACTCCCCCTCCTCTTCTGCCTCCTCACCCTCTCCACTCCTCCATCTTCCAACTCGACCCCCTCTCCAGCTCTCCCCTCCGTCCTCATCCCCCCCCTTGTCCTGCAGCCACCCCCCTCTCCATCCCTTCCTCCCTCCCCCACGCCGCAACCGTTTCTCACCTCCATCATCCCTTCCCCGGCTCCCCTCTTTTTCCCCCTCTTCTGGGGACAGAAGCAATACTCCTCCCCCCCCCAAGCTGCATCGGGGCGCCACACATGGGGCATGGCATCGCCGGGGGGCCAACCTCCCATGCCAGGAATGGGCAACATGCAGTGTCTCTCAAGTGATGGAGGGAGGAGGAGGAGGAGGAGGAAAAGGAGGAGGAGGAAGAGGTGCACGTCCATGGGCCCCTGCCCTCCATCCTCCTCGTCCTCCTTCTCGTCCTCGTCGTCGTCCTCCTCCTCCAGCCCCATTGGGACGCCCCGCGACCGGCTGTTCGACTTCTTGAGCAAGACGCTCCGCTTCGCGAAGGCGTCCGACCCCTGGCAGGGGCTGCGACCCATTGATAACTTGTTCCACGTTTTGGTATGTGTGTGAGCGCGCGCGCGTGTGTGTTTGTGCGTGTGTGTGTGTGTGTGTCTGTGCGTGCGTGCGTGCGTGCGTGTGCGCGTGTGTGTGTGTGTGTGTGTGCGTGTGTGTGTGCGTGCGTGTGTGTATGTGTGTGTGTGTGTGTGTGCGCGCGCGCGTGCGTGCGTGCGTGCGTGCGTGCGTGCGTGCGTGCGTGCGTGTGTGTGTCTGTGTGTGTGTGTGTAAGCGGGCGCGCGCGTGTATGTGTGTGTGTGTGTGCGTGCGCATGTTTGTGTGTGTGTGTGTATGTGTGTGTGTGTTGAGCCGGGCCCGTGCGCGCGCTCGCGTGACCTGTTCCAAGCCGTGCCGTCGCGCGCGTGGCCGCGGCGCCAATTAAGTGCGTGTGTGTGAGTGTGTGTGTGTGTCTGTTCTTTTTCCCCTCCCTCCTGCATGGTGGCGCCATTCGCTATAACGGTACCCCCGTTTAGGTAGCCCTCCGCCAGCGCAATTCAACTGCCTAGCCGCAGACGCCATAGTGTGTGTGTGTGTCTGTGTGTGTGCTAATGCATATATATATATATATATATATTTAATCCGTGTATAGGTCTGGGGTCGTGTACTGCGCCCACGGGGGTGGGGGGAGGAGGACGAGACGAGACGAGACGCGACGAGACGCCGATGCCAGCGGTTGCGTGGTGGAGACGCACAGGCGCCCACGGGAAGGATGCATGAAGAGGGGGAGGCGGGACTGGGGACGGCGGAGAGGGGGCAAGCAAGGTGCGCTCGCGCCACATCTGACACGCATCGCTGGACGCCCGATAGAGGCGCTCAGAGGTCTGACGGGGTATCGCTGGACGCCCGTTGGGGGCGCGCCCTCTTGCAAGGTCCCCAGGGACCGAAGGATGCCACTGGACCGACTGGAAGGGAGGGAGTGAGTGGAGGGGGGGAGAATAAGCTACCGCTCGCTCCATATACCCCACCTCTCCCTCGCATCCCTTCCCATGGCGCCGATGTTTGTTCTATCCGCCAACGGGTGTCATAGCGAACCTGGAACATCCGAAAGGACCCCATCATGTTACGCGCAATCTGGAAAAGGGAGCTGGGTACATTGGAGGGGGAGGTGGCTGATAATCAGGAGAAAGGGGAGAAGGATGAGGAAGGAGGAGGCCGAGGAGGAACTGCAGCAGCATAAGCAGGAGGAGCGGAAGGGGCAAGGTGACCAGGAGAAGGCGGGGACGGGCACAGACGGGGTCGACGACGACGAGTAAGCACTCGCATCCAGAAGTGTGGCCTGCGCTGGTGGCGAGAGCTCCTCTCGGAGCGACGTTGGCAAAACGCCGATCCTAAAATGAGGCCAGCGCTGCAGAGGGGGCACCATTTTTAGACAAGCGTGTTCCACTGCTCGCAAACTCACTACTCGCAAATGGCCTGGATCCGCCATGGGAGATTCAGGATGAATTGCACCGATGCAGACATGTGCTTTTCGGACCCTTGCGAGTGGGCATTTTGCACGTAGTGGAACGCGCTCGGTGAATTTTGGAAGGACCCGAGAACGTTCGGATTCGAACACCACAGGAGACAACTCCACTCGGATCAATCCTGCCTGTATAGGAAGCAGGACGCCGAGAGAGGCAGGGGCGCGCCGCTCTTCGGGCCACCTCCGGGGGAAAGAGAGAGGAGGGCAGGGCTCACATCGTGCAAGTCTGGAGGGGGCGACACATTCCCCCCCTCCCCCAAATGCAGACTGCGACGTATGCGCCTGTAGGGAGGAGGAGACGGAGGAGGAGGAGGAGGAGGAGGAGGAGGAGGAGGAGGAGGAGGAGGAGGAGGAGGAGGAGGAGGAGGACGAGACGGAGGAGGAGGAGGAGAAGGAGGAGGAGGAGTGAACAGGGAACAGGGGGAGGATGGAGGAGGGAGGAGAGAGAGAACATGACAGGACAGGATGTAGCGCTGCGGGTAGTCTGGCGCCAGTGCCTCGCCAGAGAGTGAGACCAGCAAAACCCACCTGCGCTGCACTTGCGGGGCGCCAGAGCAGGGAGGTGGATGGGGGGAGGAAGAGGGGGGACTGGGAGTAGGAGAGGGATGATGTGGTGAGGCCTTCGATTCCCAAGCTTTTCATCTCGGGTCGTTCTTCGACGGTCCCGGGGACCCGTCAAGAGCCCCTGGAGGCCGAAAACGGGGCGCAAACCTCTGCAGTGGTGTCTCCAGTGCGTTGGTCGCATGGGGGCGAATCCTCCCCTATACAGCAGGAAACACATCCATAAACAACAGCTTTCGACGGTCCGCGCGGACTTCTCGGATCGGCGCTGGGCCTCGGCGCCAGAAGCGCCGCCCAGGGGTGTCCAGCGCAGATACAGGATACGTATTCGCGCGGACCGTCGACAGCGCACGTGTATGCAGCTTGGTCTGCTCCGATCCTCGCGCGGGGGATCCCCGCCTGGCCTGGCGCGAGATCGTCGTGGCCCGCGACGCCGCCATCGTGCTGTGCTCCTCCAC